CCTTCTGATTTATTTCTTCTTTGAACCTTTTAATTCATTAATTCTCTCTCTTCAGGTGTGTTTAATCTGTTCTTTAACTGATTTGGTGCATTTTAAATTTCTACATTTATAATTTTCCATTTCTAAATATTCTGATGTTTAAATTTACCTCATTCTGATCATTATATTGCAATTCTTTTTCGTGTTTATTCCATCTTTCGTTTATTTCAATGTTTCCTATATACTATGTTTATTTTATATTTTCTAACTGATAGTTCCAATAGCTAGTGTCTTGGGGAGCGGTATAAATCTTTTGTTTCTACTGACTTGGGCTCAGTGGTCTTATTTTGTTGTGTGATGATTTTTATTGAGGCCTCATATTTTATTGAACATAATATTTGGAAATCTTGTTAGTCTAAGTTGAAAATATATTTCTCTAGAAAGGATTTACACGTGCTTCTATTGGGATTCATGGATTGTAGCAACCTAAAACTACTTTATTCCCCATCCAGGGCCTTAAATTTAACCTAACAGTGTATCTGAGGTTGAGCTCCCTTACTTTGCCTTGGCTATTGTTGGCAATTGTCTGCTGAGCAATACTGCATTTGTGTGTAACATGGGACAAACTTCTGGTTTCCATTTAATTTTAACTTTTTTGTCTTTTTTTTTCTTATGGTCCCTAGAAATTTCTCCTGCTTTCTAGAAGGTCTAACAATGTTAATAATTTTGTTTTTTATTTTAAACTTTTGGATTGTTGTGTTAGCAGAGGAGCCTCAGACTATCTAGTTTGTCATGGTGTTGGAAGTAGAAATTGATGAGATTCAATATGTAAGATGTCAGTCTAGATATTTATATAGATTAATTTCCTTCTGCCTTATTAACCTAGATTTTGCCAACCAGTTTAAGAGAGTTGTATATTATATATTGTATAGTTTGTTGTTGGGACTTTCCTTAGTCTTTTCTGACTTAAATTATAATATATGTGTTCTATGTAAATTTTAAACTTGTATATTTGCTTTGTGTTATTTCAGATAAAGATATATTTCTATTTTATATTAGTTATTCTGTAAATAAGGTTATGAAAAAATTTAATTTTTTTCTTGTGTGTGGAGAGAAGGTATAGAATGTAGAAGATTGAATCTTGGTGGAATTTATCTCAATAGATATTCAAAGGAATTTGGTTAATTTCTTTTGCTTAGTAATTAACATATTTATCGTATTTGGAGCAGTCCCCTAGGGAAGATTCGGCAATGTTTGGAACCTTTTTTTTTTTTTTTTTTTTGAGTCGGAGTCTCATTCTGTCACCCAGGCTGGAGTGTAGTGGCACACTTACGGTCACCCCAGCGTCGACCTGCTGGGCTCTGGTGATTCAGGAGGATCAGCCTTCCAGGCAGCCAGAACTACAGGCATGTATTACCACACTCGGCTAATTTTTTTATTTATTGTAGAAACAAGGTCTCGAACCCATGGGCTCAGGCAATCCACTCACCTCGGCCTCCCAAAGTGCCGGGATTACAGGCTGAGCCACCGAGCCCAGCCTGGAAATGTTTTTAATTGCCACTGTTTGGTGAAGGGTTGGTTCTACAATTATTTAGTAGGTAGAAGCCAGGAATGCAGATGGCATCCTACAATGCACAGGGCAGCCCTCTGCAATAAAGAATTATCTAGCCCAAAATGTCAATAGTGCCAAAGTTTAAAAAACAAAAACCCTGATTTAGAGAAACGAATAAAAGTTATTGATTTTAGTAGGTATTAGAGGATTTGGGAGGAAAAGTTTTCCAGGTCTTAGAAAAATTGAAAGAAAGCCTTATTAAGACTATTTCCTCCTTCGCCTATTTTCTTTTTTTAGTTCTTCAGCACAGATGTTCACATCCATAAAGCCAGGACTAAAAACCTAAATTTTGACTAATAGTACTAGTCAGTGGGACTTTCCATTATCTTTTGCCATTTAAAAAATTATAGAATAAGATATTGATTTTAGGAAATTTGGAGAGAATAGAAAATTTTAAATAGAAAAATATTCAATCTCATTTTATGTATACAAGGACTGTTAACGTTTTGGAGTCTTCGGTTTGTTTGTTTTTCTTTCTTTCTTTTTTTTTTTTAAAGATTCAGGATCTTATTCTGTCACCCTGGCCAGAGTGCAGTGGCACGATCATAGCTCACTGCAGCCTCAACCTCTGGGTTCAGGTGATTCTTCTGCCTCTGCCTCCTGAGTAGCTGGGACTACAAGCATGTGCTACCATGCCTGGCTAATTTTTTTTCTTTTTCTTTCTTTCTTTTTTTGGTAGACACAAGTCTTGCTGTGTTGTCTAGGCCGATCTTGAACTCCTAGCCTCAAGTGATACGCCCTCTTGGGCCCCCCAATGTGCTGGGATTACAGGTGTGAACCACATCATTGTTAAATCTATTATTTAATTAGCATAGGTGATTGCAAATTGACTATGATAGAGTCTGTAAAAATATTACAGCAAATATTACTACAGTAATCTGCTCCAGAACCCGGGTTTCAAATGAGGCCTTTATCAGAGGACATGACCTTAAAGGTGATTTTACTGAACTTTGAATAGGCTACTTGTTACTTTGCACAGATTATTTGACCATTATTGGGGGTGGATCAACTACTTTGTGATTATTGGATATCATGTGAATAGTTTTTACTTTAAGTACATTTCTATTTGGTTTTATATGTGCATGATAAAACATCATCAAGATAAAGTCCTTCTAAGGCTATCCATACAGAAAAGGCTCTGGGTTGTAAAAGATCTTAAAGGTCATTTAATCATGTATCTAACTGTTTTGTTGAGCCCCTCCTCCACATTCTTGTAACTCTTATAACTTTTGAATATGGCCTCCTGAGGTGACTGAAAATGTTTTTGTTTTTGTTTTTTTTTTTTGAGTTGGAGTCTCACTCTGTCACCCAGACTGGAGTGCAGTGGCCGCTTCAGGCCACCACAGCCTCGACCTGTTGGGCTCCGGTGATCCTTCTGCCTCAGCCTTTCAAGTAGCCAGAATTACAGACATGCGCTACCACGCCCGGCTGGTTTTTTGATTTATTGTAGAGATGAGGTCTCGCTGCCCAGGCGGGTCTCGAACCCGCGGGCTCAGGCAATCCACTCACCTCAGCCTCCCAAAGGCACGGGATTACAGGCTGAGCCACCGAGCCCGGCTCTGAAAATGTTTTTTATAAATTTTTTACTTGACTTGGTGAAGAAATGGAACTTTACTCATATTGGTTAATTACCTCCTTTTCTTACTTTAGATTTCATATGGTTTTCTAAATTAACCTCAAACTTATTTAAAGGTAGTAGATATTTGATAAGAATATTTGTATAGCTCGAATCTTACCACATTGTTGTCTCTTTCTTAAGAAATATGAAAATTTGAATAATTGCTTTTTTTTGAGTAGGAGTCTCACTCTGTCGCCCAGACTGGAGTGCCATTGTGGCTATCCTTCTGTCTCAGCAATCCTTCTGCCTCAGCGATCCTTCTGCCTCAGCCTTCCAAGTAGCTGGAGCTACAGGTGCATGCCACCGAGCCCAGCTAATTAAAAAAAATTTTTTTTTTAAAATTTTAAAGATGTGGGGTAAAGCCGGGTGTGGTAGTGCGTGAATAGTTTTTACTTGGTGGAAGAATCGCCGGAGCCCAGCGGGTCGAGGCTGTGGTGGCCGGGAGCGTGCCACTGCACTCCAGTCTGGGTGACGGAGTGAGACTCCAACTCAAAAAAAAAAAGGTGTGGGGTACAATTCAGCGTTAGGTATACAAATGTTCATGATATAGGTATCCTTGTTAATGAATTATGACCCCTCTCCCCCGGCAGATCCCCACTACTGTCAGTTCTTTTCTTACAGTATTGCAATAATTGTTCAAGGTCTACTTATGAGTGAGAACATGTGATACTCCGTTCTTTGTTCCTGTGATAGATCACTCAGTATTATAGACTCTAAGTCCATCCAAGTTGCTGTGAAGTTCATAATTTTGTTTCTTTATAGTTGTGTAATATTCAATTGTATATATGTATTACATTTTTTTCTCCAGTCCTCTTTTGATGGGCAGCCTGATGAGTTCCATAATTTTGCTATTGTGAATACTGCTGCAATAAACACGTAGTGCAGGTATCTTTCATAGAGTGATTTGAGTTTCTCTGGGTATATTCCTGGTAGAGGGATTGCGGGGTTGTATGGAAGGTCAATTTTTAGATCTTTTAGGAATCACCACACTGTTTTCCACAGAGATTGTATTATTTTACGCTCCCACCAACTGTGTAGAAGTTTCTCTTTTCCCTCCATCCTCTCCAGCATCTGTTGTTTTTTGAGTTATTGATGATGGCCATCCTGATTGGAGTTAGATGGTATCTCAGTGTAGTTTTAATTTGCATTTCTTTGATGACTAGTGAGGCTGAGCATTTTTTAAATGTATTTGTTGGCTGCTTATATGTCTTCTTTTGAGACTATCTATTCATTTCTTTTGCCCACTTTGTAATGGGGCTGTTTGTTTTTTTCTTTTCAGCACATTTGAGTTCCTTGTAGATCCTAGATGTTAGACCTTTGTCAGACATACAGTTGGCAAATATTTTTTCCCAGTCTGGGCTGTCTACCGCTCTCTTGATGGTTTATTTGGCTTTGCAGAAGGTTGTAAGTATGATGAGGTCCCACTTGTCTATCTTATCCCTTATGGCACGGACACTTGGGGTTTTGATCAGAAGTTGGTTGCCAGTTACAATTTCCATAAGGGTGTCTCCCGCGTTTTCTGAGGTTCTTATAGTTTGAAGTTATAGGCTGAGGTGAGCCGTGATAGTGCTCTTACACTCTAGACTGGACTACAAAGTAAGACACTGACTCAAAAAAAAAAATTTCTTTTTAAAAATACTTTATGGGATGAAAGTAGTTTAGTTTATGGGATGAAAGCAGTTTCAAATTTAAATGTTCTAGTTTAAAATGTTTTGAATTATTAGCTGTGTCATTTTAAAAACATAGTATGTAGTAGTAAATTTTGTAAAATATTTTATCTTTTAGGCGAGGGTTAAATCCACCACACAGAGTGAAATCGATCTCCATGACAACCTTCACACAACAGGAAATTGAATTTCTGCAAAAACATGGAAATGAAGTAAGTGTTTTTACAATTTCAACTTTCTTGTTGGCAGTCATTTTAGTAAGAGTTAATAATTATTTATTTTTTATCAGTATGTTTTATTTTGATATTGTGGGGTACAGTTTAGGGTTAGGTATACAACTATGCTTCGTTCAGGCACCCTTGTTGATAAGGGGTGTCTTCCCGTAATAATTATTTAAAATTGTGAATTTCGCTGGCTAAAGTTATTTTTGTACTCTACATTTAGATCTTTTAGTATGTACTCATTTAATAGTGCATTTGGAATTAATGTCTATCGTATAAATATTTCATCAAAAACCTGAGGGGAAATCTATATATTTAAATCACACTAGTGTTAAATATAAAAGACATTTTTGGAGAACATCTGATATTGAAGTTAAGTTAAAGAAACAAAACAAGCCGGGCTAGGTGGCTCAGACTGTAATCCCATGCCTTGGGAGACTGAGGTGAGTAAATTGCCTGAGCCCGCAGGTTTGAGAACCGCCTGGGCAACTTGGTGAGAACTCAGCTCTACAATAAATCAAAAAATTAGCTGGGAGTGGTAGCGTGCACCTGTAGTTCCGGCTACTTGGAAGACTGAGGTGGAAAGATCGCCGGAGCCCAGCAGGTCGAGGTTGTGGTGGCCGGGAGCGACCACTGCACTCTAGTCTGGGTGACGGAGTGAGACTCCAGCTCAAAAACAAAAATAAATAAAAATAAAAAAATAAAGAAAAAAACAGGAAGATAATTAACTTTGTTGATATTGAACTTGTTAGTCTGTTGTGTGATCAACTTTCACCTAAGGTCCTTTTTTTTTTTTTTGAGTTGGCGTCTCGTTTCAACTCAAAGACTCAAGACTGGAGTGCAGTGGCATGCTGCCAGCCACCGCAGCCTTGAACTGCTGGGCTCTGGGGATCCTTCCGCCTCAGCCTTCCAAGTAGCTGGAACTACGGGCGCGCGCTACCACACCTGGCGAATTTTTTGATTTATTGTAGAGATGAGGTCTCCCCAAGTTGCCCAGGTGGGTCTCGAATCCGTGGACTCAGGCAATCCACTCACCTCGACCTCAGAAAGTGCGAGATTACACGCCGAGCCACTGGAGCCTGGCCTTTTTTTTTTCTTGAGTTGGAATCTTACTCTGTCACCCAGGCTGCGGTATAGTGGCATGCTCAGCTACCTCAGCCTTGATCTTCTGGGCTTAGGCGATCTTTTTGCCTCACTCAACCTTCCGAGTAGCTGGAACTACAGGCATGCGTTACCACGCCCAGTTTATTATTATTATTTTTATTATAGAGATGAGGTCTCACCAAGTTGCCCAGGCGTGCCCGAACCCCTGGGCTCAGGCAGTCCTCTCACCTCGGCCTCCCAAAGTGCTGGGATTATAGGCTTGAGCCACCATACCCGACCTTTTAAAATAATTTTTTTTTTTTTTTTTTTGAGTTGGAATCTCACTCTGTCGCCCAGACTGGCCACTGCAGCCTTGACCCGCTGGGCTCCGGTGATCCTTCTGCCTCAGCCTTCCGAGTAGCCGGAATTACAGGCGTGCGCTACCACGCCCGGCTGATTTTTTTTTTTTTATTGTAGAGATGATGTCTCACCAAGTTGCTCAGGGTCTCGAACCCGCGGGCTCAGGCAATCCACTCACCTCAGCCTCCCAAAGGCGCAGGAATACAGGCTGAGCCACTGAGCCCGGCTTAAAATAAATTTTTAACTGTGGATGTATATGTGATATTTAGTGTTTAGCAGGTGCTCAGTAAGGGGGGTTTAGTTGTTCTGAGGGGCAGCCTAGTATCATGGGGAACCATTTGGACTAAACATTTGGAGGGGAGCTTTTTCTTTATTGCTTTTAATGAATTTCCAATAATTCTATTCTGTTTGCTGTTTTGATTTTAGTTCTGGGTTTTGCTGTTAGTAAAAGGTAGTGATCTAATGTCTTAAAAATCAATACAATTAACAGAGAAAATAGACATTTCCATAATCTTGGTAAGGATTAATCAGTTAACCCAATTGATTAAAATTAGTCATTATTATTTACAGAAAAGTCTCACTTTCTAAAAAAGAAATAGTACTTTAGTTGTACTATTCTGGTTGCATAGTTTTGATATCCTTAGTATACATAAAATAAATGTTAAGGTTTCATTAGTTTCGATCTTTTCTTTCACCCTTAGAAAATATATGCAAACATTTTGCCCTCTCCCTCTCTTTCTTAGTAATCTGATTGTAGTATCTTAAAATTGGTTACCTATTTGTGATGTGCATGCTTTTTGGTTCTAAAATAGTGAAGATGTATAAATTCACAATTACAAAATATCTTTAAATATGCAAGTTAGGTTGGACTCGGTGGCTCAGCCTGTAATCCCGTGCCTTTGGGAGGCTGAGGTGAGTGGATTACCTGAGCACACGGGTTCGAGACCCACCTAGGCGACTTGGTGAGACCTCATCTCTACAATAAATCAAAATGAGCCAGGCGTGGTAGCATGCACCTGTAGTTCCAGCTACTTGGAAGGCTGAGGCGGAAGGATCGCCGGAGCCCAGCAGGTCGAGGCTGCAGTGGCCGGGAGCAACCACCGCACTCCAGTCTGGGCAACAGAGTGAGACTCCAACTCAAAAAAAAAATATGCAAGTTAGAGAAGAGAGCACACTTTGAAGTCCCCAAATTTTGCTAATGACAAATTATTTTGAGTAATCAGATTCTAGACTGATGTGGGTACATTTCAGGAAAATATGCAACTGGATTACAGAGTAGAAGATTTCTAATGGCAGTAAGCATAGAATGATATATTTACGATTAAAATACAATTTGAACTATTGGTATAAAGTTTACAAGTGGGTTTGATTTCACATTGCTAACTTTAAGTTTCTTAGAGTGTTGACTTAGTATGTACAGTTTTGGAAATTGAGATGGAATCAGAAACAAAGTAAAGCATTTTATTCTGTTGTTAGATTAAAAAATATAATGACAGTAGTAAAGCCAGAGAAACAGAACTGGATTAACAGTCCATTGAAGAAGTAAGTAAAAATATACTGACTTGTCAGTAGATAAGGTTAGATGGAGACTGGTTCAAAAATACTAAGATTGAAGGAGTGCATATTTTTAATTGTAGTAAGAACATTGATTTATCCTCCTAATATCTTTTAAGTGTACAATAATATGTGTACAATAATATGTTCTTAACCATAGGTGGTGTTGTATAGAAGTTCTCTAGAACTTAATCATCTTGTATAACTGAAACGTTATACCTGTTGAACAGCAACTGCACATTTTCTCCTCAACCCCTGGTGCCCACTATTCTACTCTCTGGTTTTTCCTCTGGGTTTAGCTGTTAGATAGCTCACATAAGTGGAAACATACAATATTTGTCCTTCTGTGACTAGCATATTTCATTTAGTATAATGTCTTCAAGGTTTATCCTTGTTGTCACTTATGGCAGAATTTCTGATGTAATATTTTTTAAGACTTTAGCATCAACGTAAATTCAGTATATTTGATTTTAGAGAATTTATTATACTGAAACGTAGAAGCAAAATATAAACAATAGGAATGATTAGCATGGGACCAAGTGTAGTGACTCACAAGGTAAATTCAGTATGTTTGATTTTAGGGAATTCACTGTATCAAAAAATAGAAGCAAAATTAAACATTTGAATGACTAGAATGGGGCTGGGTGCGGTGACTCAAGCCTGTAATCCCAGCACTTTGGGAGGCCAGGGTGAAATGATTGCCTGAGCCCACAGGTTTGAGACCATCCTGGGCAACTTGGAAAGACTTCTTCTCTACAATAAATCAAAAAAATAGACGGGCATGGTGGCATGAAGAAATGACTAGAATGGATTCATGAATCTTTTTTTTTTTTTGAGTTGAAATCTCACTCTGTCACCCAAGCTGGAGGGAAGTGGCACACTTGTGGCCACCATGGCCTTGACTTGGTAGGCTCAGATGATTCTTCTGCCTCAGCCTTCCAAGTGGTTAGAATTACAGGCACGTACCACTATGCCCTGCTAATTTTTAAATTTTTTTTTATTTAATTTTTTTTATTTTTTGAGTTGGAGTCTCACTCTGTCGCCCAGACTGGAGTGCAGTGGCTGCTCCCGGCCACCGCAGCCTCGACCTGCTAGGTTCCGGCAATCCTTCCACCTCAGCCTTCCAAGTAGCTGGAATTACAGGCATGCACTACCACGCCCGGCTGATTTTTTTGATTTATTGTAGAGATGAAGTCTTGCCAAGTTGCCCAGGCGGGTCTCGAACCTGCGGGCTCAGGCAATCCACTCACCTCAGCCTCCCAAAGGCTCGGGATTACAGACTGAGCCACCAAGCCTGGCTTGCCCTGCTAATGTTTTGATTTATTGTAGAGACAAGGTTTCGTCAAGTGGCCCAGGCTGATCTTGAACCCCTGGGCTCAGGCAGTCCTCTCACCTCTGCCTCTCAAAGTGCTGGATTATAGGTGTGAGCTACAGCACCCGACTGGATTCATGAATTTTAAATTCTACAAAGTAGCATGCAAATTGACAGGCTACTTAAAGCATCCCCTATGACAATCACTGTGCTGGGTAATATGTATGCAGTTATAGATGTTGCACAGCCTTAGTGGACAAAGGGCTCGCAGTTGGAACAACAGTTATGTAACAGATCATTGCAGTAAGATATTTGGTAAAAAACGACAAAAAATAAAATAATGAAGAGGGATTCAGTCTATTTGTGGGAAGGTCTATTTGTGGGAACACCTCACAGAAAAGGTAAATATTTGCTGGTTTTTGAGGGTGACTGGGACTTAAGCTAGCAGTGAAAGACATTGAAGACAGAGCAAACACAGTACACACACAAAAAGGGAAATTTGCAGTGGATTGCTAGAAAATATGCCAATCTTGTTGTTACTTATATGTTAGAAAGACAGCATTCCTTTTTATAGTGTGCCTGAGGACATCTTAGATCCAGAATGGATGAAGCGTATTTGGTTATTTGCAGTAGTACTAACATTATCTGTGTTCTTAAAACTTAAGAGATATGGAGAGGATGA